AAGAAACCAAATGCAAAAGGTCACATTGTATGACTTGGTTTATATGAAATATATTTGAAATAGGTAAATCTGTGGAATATAAAGTAGACTAGAGGTTGTCAGAGGCTCAAGGGTAAAGTGAGCAAATGAGTGTGACAGCTAATGGGTATGGATTTCTTTCTAGGGAGATGAAAATGTTCTGGAATTTGATGATGATGGATGTATGATTTTATCAATATATCAAAAGCTGTTGACTTGGATACTTTAAATGGGTGAATTACATGACACATGAGTTATATCTCAATAGAGCTTTTGCTTTTTCAAATGGACTCTATTCATTGGTATCTCACCTAATATGAATATAAATTAGAGCAGGAATATGACAAGTCACCAGAAAGTTTGATTCAAATGCACAAATTATTTTTTCAGTGATCTATCCATTTCCATTTGTTGATATGTCTGAGAAATAAGCTTGATTCAGCATGTGGGTACATGAAGATGCGATGTCTGTAGCAAAAGCACTTGTTAGAAGAAAAGGCAAAGAATAATTGTGCTTGGAGGCCTGCCTTCCATAGAGGTGCACAGGTAGGCACTTCAACCATTAGCTGAAGTTGAGGGGAAAGCCTCCTCCCCCCAACATTATCTCCTTATGGGACCACAACACCTGAGGTTAAACCATCACTCCCTCTCTTTCAAAATACAAGTCCTATCTGCCTTCGTTTAAGTGAGGTGGTTTCTCTGTGTGCCACTCTCAATATGATGTGTTGACAGAAGAGGAACAAACAGCATTGACCAGCACAAGAACCAAAATTGAGGCACAGAAGTCAGGTAAGGTATCTAAACACAAGCTGCACTTCACTGAGAATCTTGATGAAGGTTAGTCCAGGTTTTTCCACTGTCACTGTCAGACAATTCCCAGAAGCAAAATGATGAGGAGATTCAGAAATCCCTTTGCCTGGGAATTCCAGTCCCCTCTGTTTGGGAGCTCGAATGTCCATTGGGTTGGAGGTCCTCATAGTGGCTCACTCTCTTTAGGGGCCCTTCTGAGCCTAACAGCCACTAAGGTCCCAAACTCTGCCTGGCAAGAAGTCTGTCGATAATTAAAAATGATTATATTGTTAGACATCAGCAGTGAGAGACTTTAAACAGATGGGTAAGTACCAAAGCCTCTCCTGCTTTAATTTAAAAATTACAGCTCAGTCTGATTAACAAGAAGTGATGCTGTTGAACACTCAAGTCCAATGGACTCTTGCCACTCATCAGTGGTGGAAATCACAGCACAGAGTACAAATCTCATTTGCTTTACTCTCTCACGTAGGTCCTGAGGGAAAGGCAAGGTAGAAATAAATTGTGAGTTCATACGTGCTTTGTCTGTGTCTCACAGTCTCTGTTAATAGTACGATCACTTCCAAAAGCTTCTCAGCTCCCAGGCATGGCATTAATTACTTATTTGGCTGACCGTTATTTTCTAAGTAAACTGGTAATACACAATTTCAAGCTCAGAGAATTGATTTGAAATTGGGATTTACTCATTGTGTACACATTCAAGACTCCCCACTTAAAGGATTTCTAGGAAGTCATGTACGTTATTCATTTATATACTGGAACCAACAGGGAGAGGAGACAGTCCCCTCAGCTCTGTTTAGTGTTACTAAGAATAATGTAGACTGGAAAAGTAGATGTGAATGAGAACATAGGTGTGCTCTAAGGACAGGAGAACTTTTGGCAGAAAGAACAGTTGGGAGAAAAGAATCCAAGTTAGTAGAGGCTCCAAAGAACTTTTGAGGAACTCCCAGAAAGCAGAAACTGCCTTTATTGTCAGGACAAACAGCCCTTCCACCTATGCCGATCACAAGAATTTTTCTCATTGAAATGGTTCTTTAACAGAATCACAGAAGACAAAAAACAAATAACAGCCATAACAACCCCACACACTGTGCAGATCACATCATATATGTAATCTGCACAAATGGTCTTTCTCCCATGGTCTCTCCTTACCTGTCCAGGCTCAGAAGTTGCTTCATCTGTAAAGTTTTGGAGACTAGCTATGTGGGCAGAAAGTTTATCTCTAGCTGTGCTTCCATAGCATTTATTTACCAAGCCCTGCCAGTTGTACCTTCAAAACATTTCTTGAATTTTTCATCTCTTCTCTAGTCTACTCAACCCCTGCCTGATTTCAGGGACTCTTTTTCTCTTCCCAGATTTGTAGGTTTACCTCTCAAATCTACCCTCTGCACAGCTATGAATGGGACAACACTGAAAGACCAGGAGAATTGTGGGAAGGATGTTACCCTGAGGGGCTCAAGGACAAGGTGAAGTGGATGAAGGTCATGAGTGGGCTGAGAGGGCAGAGGTTTGAGTCAGAGGCATGCTTGGTGAAATACACATTACCAGGCAGAGCTCTGAAAGAGTCTAATCAGCAAGGATGGGATTGGGCCTAGGAATATGCATTTTAATAAACACTCAAGGCAATTTTGATATAGATGGGCCCTTGACCATGCTTTAAGAAATACTTTCTATTATGAACTAAATTCTGATTTGAGCTCATATTCATACATTGAGATCCTAATACCCCACCCTCATATTTCAAGACAGGGCTCTTAATAGGCAATCAAGGCAAAATGAGGTCATATGGGTGGGCCCTAATCCATTCTGACTGGTGTCCATATAAAAGAGAAGGTTTGGACACATTTATATACACACCAAGAGGATGTAACAAAAGCAACCATCTTCAAGCCAAGGAGAGGGATCTCAGAAGAAACCAACCCTGCCTACAATTTGATCTTATATTCTAGCTTCCAGAACATGTGAAAACAAATTTCCACTAAGTCACCCAGTCCCTAGTACAGTGCTCTGTCACGGCCACCCTAGCAAACTAATGCACTGTCATATACCTTTGCAGGCGTTTGTGCCTAGGGACTAGCCAAGCACATTACACCAACCTTCAGCAAAGGAGGGGAAGTGACTAGAAGCCACTGGAAGATGGAACTTAGCCTGAGTAGTTTTCAATTCCTTGAGACTCCAGCAAGAGTCTGGAAGTGCAAAGGGAGTCAGGAAAATGCCCCCTCCCACCTGGCCCATAGTTTATGAGGAGGGAAAATACGATTCTTGAGGGAGTCATGCTTCAGACAAGGCAAAGAAGCAGGGCAGGTATAGAATATTCTGGGCATTCTAAGAAAAATGGCAGATTTCTCTTCGGAAAAATCTAACTGAAATGACAGTCTACAGTTGAATTTAAAGATTTAACCAAGCAGAAAAGTTTTCTTCAACAAGGCTAGGGCTGAGAGAACAAAACAGAAATAGTAACAAAATTTTAGAAGTGGAAGAACAGCTAGAAAAGTGGTCCAGGTGTTAACATGGTGGTTCTCAAAGTATGGCGACATGAAAGTACCTAGGAATGTGTTAGACAAACAGATCTTGGGTTCCCCTGAAGAACTCCTGAATCTGAAACTGCAGAGGGGCCCAGCAATTTGTGTTTAAACAAGCCCTCCAGGTCATAATGCACTCTGAAGTTGGACAACACTGGATTTAGCAGAGCAGAGGAAGTTGATCAGCACTATTGGTTGTGAAATTTTGAGAGGCAACCCCACAAAAAAAGGCTCAGGAGGAAAAGTTCCAGTAATGTTAGAAGTACAGACTGAGTAGTTGAGTCATGAGAACTGGTTAGAAAGATTTAGAAAGCAGTTAGATCCTAAGCCCTTGTCCCCAGTTCTTTACATCTGGCACACAATGTTGACAGATCAAGGAAGAACAGGTGCATTTCTGCGTTGGTGGACTACATAAAGTCCTAATTTGGTGGGCTGTCATATGGTATTATATTTCTAGAAAGATGATAGCTTTGTTTCCAAAGCAAATATTACTGCCCATGAAAAGGCAGTGCTGGTGTTTTGGGATAATCACTGAATCAGGAAGCAAAATACCTGCTCAAGGTGTAACTCTTTCTCTCATCAACTGTGTAATCATGGCATGAACTTCTTCAGCTCTTCACCAAGCTATGGTAAGGGCTTTTAAACACAAATATTCTATAGTCTCATATATTTAATTAAGAATTAAGAAGAATCATAAACATGGTGCTAATTGCAAGCATTGCCTAATTAGACTAACAGACTGACAGACTAGATGGTCTCATTTTAGATATTTGTTATTTGGGATATGCGTGTGTTTTTAACTGTAATCTAATTATTTCAACAAATGTATACAGAACTTCTACTGGTGTCCAAATGCAAAGTATTCCTAAGTATCATATGATTGCCTATGAATTGATGCTATTGAAATACTTAGTGGGACTATAGAAACTAGGACATTGTTTTTTATATATTCTTAACTTTTTGTGATTTTGCAATATTACTTTGCTATTGAGAAAAAAAATTAAGGATTGCCACAAGGATAAAAAATAGGTTTATTATCTTAAGTGACCGTTCTGATCAATTGGTCATGTCTGTTGCAATGCTAGATTGAGGGTTACAAAGCTCATTTCAGATTCAATGAGACAATATTGTGATCACTTAGTAATGTCTGCCATGGGGAAAGGATGGAACACTTGGTGTGTATTTAGCACACACTCTGCTACTATCATCTAGGAATCACCTCCCTTTGGCCCTTTGAATGTGAATGCTGGACTTCAAATTCAAAGTTTATTCCCTCTCTTCCTAAACTCAAATAGAAATAGAGGACTCATTAGGTAGCAGCCAATGTGGCTACAAGAACCCAGACCCACCCTTCCTGTGGGAGGAGCACTTCCCAAGTTTCATAATTTGAAGGGAGCAAGAAGATACTTCCTTTGATTTCAATGAGGCTCTGCAGAACTATTGTTTAGTACAGATTCTTCTCATCCCTTCTCTAGCATCATGCCTTAGAAATGGCCAGTCTTGAGATGGGAGCTTCTAGATCCTCTGTGACATTCAGAGGGCTCTGATGACGCACAGCAGATAAGGGACTCCGTTCCTGGGTCAGGCCCCCACTAGCACTCCCAGTAGGCGCTCCATTGCCTCCCCCAGGATGGAGAGCTGGTTAGTACTTACTGCCCATTATCCTCCGCACTGTTGGGCCCTCTGCAGTCATCTCCCTCGCAATCTCGTTGTCATCCTCATTGGCATCCAGCCAGCGATTGCAATTGAAGTTATACTTTTCCTTATTCAATGTGTTCATCAGGGTCATCTAAAAGGAAGTCCTGAGGTAAGCAGGTGGGTGTACCAGAAATTTTCATCCAAGTCCTGGAACCCCCATTCTGCTTTGCTATCTCAGGGAAGTCCTGGCTTCCTTTGTGGAAGACATAGGGTCAGATTAATGTTTTTCCCACTGGTCCCCTAGAGACCTACACTTGGGTAGCTTCCAGGTGACTGAGCAGAATGCAAGTGCTATGGACACCTGAGCATTTTCTGTCTACTTTGAAAGGCCTCTCCCCATTGCTCCCTATCAGAAAGTACCAATGGCCTATACCCACCCTTCTCCACTCCCAATCCCAACAAATACAGAGACAAATGTATGTGATACAGTTATGAAAAGAGGCAATTATGGCCCCTCTCCCAACACACAAAGGCATCTCACCCTTTCTAAATGCCATCCAGAGCCAGGATTCCGCCTATCATGCCATGCTCGAATCTTATAAAATCTACCAAGATCGGGGAGCTCAAGCTACAAGGAGAAATGAAAGGTCTGATTGGGCATAATGCAGGAAATACATTCATCCTCATAGCTGACCACATCCAGACGGGTGCTGCTTTGGGACTGTTTCTTCAAAGCAAAGATAGATTTGCTTCAAGCCACCCTCACACGCTCCATCCTCTCATGTTCCTGGTAACCAGTGGCACCTGGGCCAAGACAGCCATGTGGAACTAGGGTTCAGACTAGGATGGTGAAAGTGAACAAAAATAACTGACCCACAGTGGGATCCAGCCTAAAGAAGATCTTCCAAGCAATAAACTTCCAGGAACAAAATCTATATGGAAGCCCTGCAAATTAGCACAGGGCCACAGCCCCAGGACTCCACTGGGCACTGAAACAGACAAAAAGATCAATACAGCAGTCATGCCCTTTCCCCAGGGGCTCAAGTCTGGCAAGAAAGACAAATACATAAAGAGCAATGAACTTGGTGGTAAAATAGAGATACTGATGGGGTGCTAAGAGAGGACAGCAGCAAATTACAAATTATTCCTAACTAAAGGTTAAAGCAACACTTCTGTGGGAGGGGAAAAAAGCTTTGCTCTAGTTATATACATACTGGAAAGTTTGAAAGCTGAATTTCCTTTAAAATGCTCTAGAATTCATACTTTCTCTTAGATTTGGTCCTTATTCTAATGCAGCCAGATTGGGTAGTCCAACACTAACTGTAATTAGGGTTTCTATTCTACAATTCCCCAAGTTAGCCCACTCCTCGATGCCCCAAACCGCCTCATACAGCTGCTTCCTCAAGCTTGGTTCTGGACTGTTTGTTTCACATGAAGGGTTAAATCTAAATCATATCCCTTTTAATCATTGCCTATAAATCATCAAATTTGCCACCCTTTGCAGGGGCCTAAAGTCTCCATTGTACCTTTTTATCTTCCACTGTGGTCCAAAACCTAACTTAGAAAACCACAATCTCCATGACAAATGCCTGCTACATCCCTTTCTCATGGCTCCTTCCCACCCCTCCACATTTCTCTCCTACCCTAAACTTCTCGATGATGCCTGGTTTGAACCATTTGTTGTTGGGATTCAGGAAAATCTCATCTGTCCGCCCCTTCTGCCCATAAATCTGGATGAAGATGGGTGAGTTGGTACCAGCTTTCTTCAGATCAGTCGTCCAGACCCACAGGGACCAAGGAAATTCTACGAGACAGGTCAAGTTGCACCATAAATGCTAAGTGAAGATATTTTCATGTGATCAGTAGAGAAGAGGAGAAAATCAAAAGTGATCAGAACTAAAGGGCAGGTGATACACAAGTGTGTACCACTCTCAGAAACCCATTAGAACAACTGCCAAATTTAGAAAGCTAAGGATTCCTTGCTGTTTAAAACAGGATGCCTTAACGTTCTTTTTAATGGTTAAAACATATTAAAGGAAGAGGAGTTGACTCCACCCACCTTAGGTCTGGTATATTCAGGGTGTGCTGAATCACTAAGTTTAACACTTTGCCATCACATCAGCTTCTTCAAATTGGGGACACTAGAGTCAGCCTTGTTACAAGAAACTGAGCACAGTGTGTACCTTAGAGAACTGAGTCCCCTGGAGGGCTCTTTCCCTTCTTTCTAGAGGAGAATAGAGAAGTGGGAGTGGAACCTCTCAAAGCTTTTGTCTAGTGGTCTGATTCTTGGCCTTTACTGGCCTATCGGAGAGGCTCCTGGGTCTGGGCCCTTTGAACTCACTTTTCAGTCGCTTCTTCCTCAGAGACATCATCTCATAGAGCTGCCTCTCGATCAGCCCATCTGCTTTCTTCTCATCCAGCCAGTTGCTGCAGGGGAAGGTCTGCTGGATGCCAGTGAAGGGGCACAAGATCACTACCTGGGAAGACAGACCAGAAGTGTCTCCTGCATCGGGACCTCCATGGGACCTGCTCAGTGCTCAGCAGTCTACTTAGTCCCTTCTTAGGACCCTCAGCAAAGGCACTTTTGTTATCTGTCTCATTAAATATCGATCAAGAAATAGCTCCTCTAAGTCTTTCAAAGTAGGTGTCACTCATCCTTCCACAATTAGCTCAACTCTCAAACCTTCTCCTCTATATACAGTACCCTCCAAAAATTCATTTCTTTATGTTCATCATAAAATCTGTTAAGCTGAACCAAATGAACTAGACTAACAAATTAATTCCCTATAATTATTTTATAGGAAGAAGGTAAATCACATGGAAGCTAATTAATATCTAGAGTTTAATACAAAACCCACTGCTCTCTTCTGGGCTTGATACTCATTGAACCCTGTCTCCTAACCCTCTCCATCCCCACCCACACTTTGAACTCATGGATTTAGAATGTGGAAGTCTGTTTTCCCAGGCCACTTACATTATGGATGGTCACAGGAATATTCCTGGAACAGTATAGAATCTTCTCTCAAGAAAGAAATTTTGACTTTTTTGAATTAGTGAATTCCAAGCTTTACTTTCTTTCTTTCTTTTTTTTTTTTTTGGTGGTACTGGGGTTTGAACTCAGGGCCTCACCTTGTTAGGCAGGCTTTCTACCACTTCAGCCACTCTGCCAGCCCCTTTACTTTCTTTTTAACTTGAAAACAAACCTGACTCTCCCATTGGTCAGGCATTTTGACTGACCTTAGTGGGTATTTGTTCATTGCCCATTGCTCATAGTGGCCATAATCAATTATAACTCCCTTAGCCTGAATTGTTACATTAACATGCCCCTAGATATCCCTGAGAACTCACCCAGTACTCATAATCTGACCATCATGATGAACTTAAATCTATAAGAAGCACTGAGGAGAGGGGAGTCAAAAGATGGGGTAGAGGAATGTATGTCCCTTTAAACTCCCAGACAAATACTTCTCCCTAGGATAAATAATGGCTCAGGACCACAGGCAACAGCTCCCTTAAACATTTTATAAATATATTGCCAATTAATACAATCCACCCCCACATTCATTCAACAGATGGGAAAGCTGAGATCCCGAAAAAAGAAGGAAATATCCAAGTTTGCACAGTTAGTAGTGGCAGAACCAGAAGATAAGTGTTCCTCACTCCAATGACCAGTTGGGGCCTTTTCTATCCATTATTAAAAATCTCAGAATTCCTGTTTATATGTGCAGTCCACTGGGATCCATTATTCACTCCATCTTTTTTGCTAAAGATTCTATATGGCCACATACTCAGAAATGACCTATACTTAGGAAAATGTGGAGAACACCCATGCAGGGTAATCTGAGATATCAAAAGTTCTGAATTACCAACAATTTATTTACAAGTCTTTCTTTACTCTAAAGAAATCCTGCAGTTACATCTTCCTAGTTTAATCTTAAATTGTCCTCTAATTGTTACATATGTATTGGTTGGTTTTTTCTTTTCAACAAAATAACAAAATTCTGAAAGTCTGATGTGTCCTTGTGGTTCCCCTGAACATAGTTCTAGCCATGTGAAAGTAAAAGTTTAGGTATAGTACGTGCTTTTAAATATTTGCTAAAAGTTCTGCTTCCGGACTAGGTGGTCCAGAAAAGTTGGTTGTCTGAAAAGCACTCACCATTGCAAAATACACATATGCTAGATAAAGAACAGGAAATACCATTTTATATACATTGCCAAGTTTCCAGGGATTTACCAGGGAACCATAAGAACCAGCAAAACTCAGAGTAAGCAGAAACCCAGAGAACGGGCAAGTGTGAAGGAGAAAGTTTGTGTTGCTCTGAAGCAAAGGAGAATCCCAGGCACTTGAAGACCAGGAAACTAACAGCCATATGAAGAAGCGGGAAACTGGGCCTTGGGGTGTACAAGTGGAGAATCTGAACTGGAAACACCTGAGCAAGCAGGAACACTTTAGAGAGCTCTCCCTCAAAAAAAAGGTAGGTAGAGAAAATCTGCAAGGAAGCCTGCTTTCTCTGCCTTTGCTCCAAACAGAAAATAGTAATAGCCACCTCTAGGAATTAGTTACCATGAGTCTGGTCAGAAGACAAGTGGTAATAAATGCACACCTAGAAGTATTGAAGAGAAATACAAGAATGACAAAGACAAGGAGATGATCTTAAGAGCATCAAGAGAGAAAAAACAGACAACAGCAATTAGACAAATAGAAGCCAGAAGATACTGGGTGAGAGGGGACTTAATTTAGAATTCTATGCTCTAAAATTATCTTTCAATATTGAGGATGAAATAAAAAATTTTCCAAATGAACAGAAACAAAGTTCACCAACAACAGACCTTTATCAAAGAAATTTCTAGCCCAGTGCCTGTGGCTCACCCATGTAATCCTAGCTACTTGGGAGGCTAAGATTGGAAGGATTGTGGTTTGAGGCCAGCCCAGGCAAAAAGTTTGTGAGACATCCATCTCAAAAGATAAATAAATAAGTAAATGAATACATAAAATTAAAATAAAAGGGAGCTTCTAAAGGATTTACTTCAGGAAGGAAAAACAACACCAGAAATAAGGCCTGAAATGCAAGAAGCAGCAGCTATCAAACTGGCAAATGGAGCAACAATGACTCTATAAAACAATATCTAATGTGTGAGTTTTAAAAAAATAATTGAAAACAGAGTTAAAATACTGGGCAAAAATACCATGCAATGTAGATACAAGATGATTATCATTTAGAGAGTTCTAAGGTCTTTGTATTTCCTAAGAGGATAGTAAAGATATCAATTAAATTTAAGGTTTGCCCCTTGAAGTGTGTATGGTAATTTAAGGGGATGCCATGGTTTAAACGTCCTCACCAAAACTCACGTACAAATTTAATCCTCATTGTGAGGTGTTAAGAGGGTAAACTTAATGCAACTATGGTATTTGGAGGTGGTACCTTTCAGGTCCTTTCAAGGAGGCCATCAGAGTAGAACGGTAATGCAATGGGATTGTGGCTTCATAAGAAGAGGACAGACCTGAGCTAGAACCCTCTGTCTCACCACCGGATGCCCCTGATTCTCATGATCCAGCAAGAAGCCCTCAAGAGACACCAAGAAGACCTGGTGACACTCTTGGATTCCTAGAACCATGAACTTAATAAATCTCTCTCTTTGCTAATTGCTCAGTCTGTGGTAGCAACATAAAACAGACTAAGGCAGGAGAAAAAAAGGAAATGGAGAGGAATGGTCAATCCAAAAATATTAAAAGAAGTTCAAAAAATTGAGTATCTGCAGTACAGATATACCAGTAATTACAAAAAGAATAAGTGAACCAAATTTGCCAATTAAAAGATAGATTGTATCAGACTGGATAATGGTAAATATTGAATTCACTAAAAGGCCATAATAATTCTATAACTTAAAACATAGCCCCAAACTATACCAAGCAAAAATTTTTAGTTCTACAATAATTGAAATATCTTTCAGGAACAATGGCACATACCCTATAATCACAATACTCAGGAGGTAGAGGGAGGAGGATTGCAAGGTCAAGACTAGCCTGGGCTACATGGTGAGTTCCAGGCCAGCGTCAGATACTAGTAAGACCCTGTCTCAAAAAAAAAATTGAAATATCTGCCACTGAAGTAGGAAATTCCAATACATCTTTCTTAGTAGTTAATAGACCAAACAGAAAAAATACTAGTAAAGAAATAGAAGATTTAAATAACAAAACTAATTAAATTTAATAAATAAAATCAAAATCTTATATGCAATTATTGCAGCATATACAAGAAACTGAAGATGCCTGATAAATCTCAAATAAAATAAAGAAAAAAATACAAGCCTTGAGGAAGAAAAGTAAGACTGTCATTATTTACTCACAATGTGACTACCCCAAGAGAACACCCCCAAAGAATCATTAGAGAAATGACCAGAATTAGTAACAGTTTAGGAATATGGCTTATGTAAACTCAATTTATGGAAATTACTTCTATTTCTACATCAGCAATGAATGGTAAGAAAATATAATTTTAAAGAGATATTATTGGTAAAATCAGCAAAAAGTTGTAACATCTCTGTGAATATAACTAACAAAAACATGCAATACTTTTATAGAGGAAAAAAATATAAAACTATATTGAAAAACATTAAAGAAGGCATACATTTTAAGAAGTATACCATGTTCATAGATAGGACAAGTCAATATCTTTCAAATGGATCTGTAGATCCAGTAGATCTCTGTTCAACAGAGTTCTTCATGGATTTGGTTAGAAAATTCTAAAATTTCTATAGAAGGGCAAATGTTCAAGTACTCAACACATTCTTGAGGAAGAAGAATAAGGTGGGTTAATTTGCCTAAATAAAACCCAAAAGTTAATACAAAGGTAAAAAAAATGAAGATAGTGTTATATTAGTGCAGAAAGAAACTAAATCACTAAATGCAACAGTCTAGAAAGCACAGAAGAGTTGTCCTTTCCAATCAGGGGGGAAAAATTACTACTTTTTTCCCACTGCAAGTTAATCAATACTCTCAACTTTCTTAAAGATAGAAACTATCTAAAGCACTTGTTAAATATCCAGATTCCTTGGAGATCTGACTCAGAGGGTCTTGGAATCTATTTTAACAAGAACTTCAGGTGATTCTTAACCTTGCTCAAGTTTTAAAAGCCATTTAATAAGTGTTGTTAAAATATTTGGATAACCACATGGAAAAAATTTATTTGGACCCCACCTCACAAAGTCAACTCTTAAAGCTATAAATGGAAAAAAATAATTTGTAGAAGTTATAGAATACATAAGGGAATATCTTCGTAGCTTTAAGATAAGCAGATTTCTTTCAATACTATAAAAAAAATTTTTTAAGGAGTGGAGGTGTGGCTTGAGCACTGATCTAGCAAGCCCTGAAGCCCTGAGTTCAAACCTCAGTACCTCCAAAAAAAATAAAATAAAGGAAAGATTGATAAACTGGATAACTTTTAAATTAAATCTCTTCCTCAGTGAACATTGTAAACAAACCATGAGAAAGTACTTCACCATATACTACTAACAAAAGATTAATTCCCAGATTAAATAAAAATTCCTGAAAGTAAAACCAAAGATAGATTAGACAGTAGAAAAATCAGCAAAAGTCACAGTTATTTTACATTAAAGGAAACATAATAAAGAAAGAAAAAGATGTACTTTATCTTGAAAATAAAAATATAAGATCATTTTACAACTTCCAGAATGGTGAAAATTAAAATCAGGCAACATCAATATCAAATGTTTACAAGGATGTGTAGAGTAAAATATCTCATACACATGGCTGACTGGAGGTTAAAATGGTGAGAGTACTTTGGAAAACCATCCAGAATACTTTGGCAATATCAGCAATTCTCTAAAGCTGAAGTCACTTGCCCTGTGACCTAGAACTTCTGTTTCTGAGACATCCTTGCACATATGTACAAATATATAGGTGCAAAATTTTCATGAATTGTTTGTTCATCATAGTAAAAACCAAGAAACAATCCCAAAATATTCATAAACAGAATAGCCAAATAAATTATGATTAATTCATATCATGGATTACTTTACAGCAGGGAAATGGATGAACTACAGCTTCTGTTAGCATTTAGATCAATCTCTAAAGCATAATGTTGAGTGAAAAGTCCGAATTAAAGACAATAGAGACAAAATTCCTAACAGTGTCTGCCCTTTGCTTGGGGGAGGATTTGGTGATAGGAGAGGGACATTCAGGAGTTTCAGAAGCATAGAAATGTTCCATCTCTCAGACTGGGTGGTAGAAAAAGATTGAAGTTTTAAAAACCATTATCTATATCTTCTTTTTATTATGTATATTCTTTTAAGTATCAGTATTGCATAATATGTACATATACTTGCAAATACTTGTTGATTGAAGAGTTATATGAACTGAGATGAAACACTACCCTAGTAATCAGGCAATCTATAGCCACCATACGAGCACGTCTGGACGTCCTACCCTGTATTTGGAGTACAGCCCCCATTCCTGACCACCAGCCACACGTGTGAATGGACCTGTTACCATCCAAAATGTCCAGTGAAAGTTACAGAGCCCATGTGCTCTGTAACTGGTCCACAGGAAATAGGAAGTAGGACTCAGGTTAGAGTTTACACTCACTAGTTAAATAAGATAGGGTTCAATCAGGGAAGACTCTTATGGAGGCACCTCTTACCTTCTCACAGTACCAGCCTCTGTTGACACCCACATTGCCATGCCCAATGGAGACCCGACTCAAGGGGCTAAGGAGGACAGCCAGCTCGATATGGAAGATGTCTGTGCGGCCTCGGTCAAACACACCTCCCTCCAGGAAGATTTTCCCACTGTTCTTATTCCCTCTGGCCCCGTACATGACCAAGTAGATTTTGGATTTGGTCCCAGCTCCCCGAATATCCCCAGTGAAGACGGTGACAATATAGGTGATAGCTGGTGGAAACAGGGAGAGGGAGGAGTGGGTTCAAAATAAGCTACATTATAAAATCCCCTCTTTTCCTATTCTGTCTACAGTACTCCTCTACCACACATCCCCATTCCACCCATGTTCTCCTCCCTCAGACCATATCCAACGTCTCTCGCAACCTCATTTAATCTTTTCAAAGTTTGTGCGTCTGAGTTTGAGAATAAACTGCATCTATTATTACAGGAAACTGCCAGTTCCGATTATGGGAAACTAACAAAGAGAATAGGAACTTGGGCTGGATAAGAATAGTACTTATTTTTAATGTTAATTACCATGTATACATTGTTAATAGCTGCCAGATGAATTCTGTTATGTCTAATCTAATTATAATAGTCAACTCTATTATTGGTAATTTATAGCCTATCTGGTTCATTTAGCTTGGTCTTTTGCTAAAAACTGAAAAACATCACTTTTTTTGGTGGTGCAGGAGTTTGAACTCAGGGCCTCATGCTTGTTAGGCAGGTGCTCTACCACTTAAGCCACTCTGCCAGCCCTATTTCGTGTTGAGTATTTTTGAGATAGGGTCTCTCAAACTATTTGACCAGGATGGCTTTGAGCCATAGTCTTCCTGATCTCTGCCTCCCAAGTAGCTAGGATTACAGGTGTAAGACACCAGTGCCCATCTAAAACATCACTTTTGACAAGGGACACTAATGTCTTCCTTCTCCACCTATTGGGAAGGCAGGTGTAGGAAGACTGTAAGGGACACTGTATATTGGATCTTCTTGGGTTTTGATCAGTCAGGAGGCATATTGAGGACTTAGAATTCTAGGGCAGAACCAGCAAGGGGGATATTAAACTCTTAAATGGAACAGAGTAAGAGAAAACACCAAAGGCAAACTTTTGGACCAAAAATTCTGCTAAGGTCTGGTCTACATTCATTTGCCTTGGAACATGAGACAATTGATGTTTGAGGCCTTGTTAATTCCTCAACCCATCCCTCACCCTACCCTACCCTGTACCCTCATCTTGTAATCCCAGAGAAATAAATATTCCACAGTTCTTTGGGAGCTAGAACATGGGAGATGAACTGGACCAAAATCGTCAAGCAATTTGCATGGATGCATTACTCATCTGAACATTCACATCTTCTTTGGTTCAGCAAGCATTTATTGAATGCTTACTAGTTGCCAGGTCTCTGGGAGTTTATGAAGATAAAAAGGGAAGGGACCACTCTGAAAAAGTAGGTTTGAAGCTTTTATTTCTCCAAGGCACTTGAATGGATAGAATTTTCACACCAGACATACTTCTACATCCTGGGTGATAAGCAAATCCTACCTGCTTCTACATTTTTGGGAAACAAGTAATCTTAACACAGTCCTTGGATCATAGGAAATCTATTGTGGTATATGTTTTCAAGTAAATTGCAAACTTACTTTGATGACATGTAACACCTCACAGTGAGCAGGCCAGGCTAATGTGCTCAGATGCTGAGGATGGAAAGTGCTGGAACAGATGAGTTTTAACCATCCTAAACAATAGGATCAAATCCTGCCCAGGATGCATGGAGAAATTACCCAGGCCAGGAAGGCAAGGGAGGGCTCAGAGGATGTGAACCAAAGCAGGGATTTGAGAAACAGAAAGAAGAGAAATGGCTTCAAGAGCTGAGGTGAAGGCAGGTTCCAAAGAGAAAAGGAGAGAAAACAGTGAGGTAAGTGGGGAGGGAGGAGAGGGGAGATGGAAGGTGTGTGAATGTGGGGTGGGAGGGTGAGTACTAGAACGAGTGAAAGGTGTGCAGACACAGATGTGGTGGGGGGAGCTGGAAGGGCTGCCTAAGCAGAGGGAGAAAGGTTGTTGGAAGATGCCATTGATAGGATAAACTGGAACCAAATTGTGGAACAATGTGCATATTACACTAGAACTTGGGCTTGATCTCTAGGCAGGAGAGAGCCATGGAAGTTTTGGCAGCAGAACAACATTCTCAGATGTGCACAACAATACACATGGGTTTTCTGGAACACCCATGACCACCTCAGCCAGGCTGGGAGTTGGAAGTTTTCTGTGGAATTCACAGTGGGCAGGCTTTAAGACCTCCTAATGCCTGTTGTTTACCAGCTATGTGACCAGCGACAGGTTTCTTAATTTCTATGTGTCCCAGTTTTCTCACTTGTGAATTGGGGTCAGTTAATGCCTACATTGTAGGTGTCGTGAGGATTGAAGGAAACTAGGTGGGTCAGAGGTTGACATTCTGACTTCCTCCTCTGTGCAAGGCCATCGCCCTGACTCCTCAGATATCAAAAGGGCCCCGTCCAGGCTCAGAAGACCAGATTGTTTTCATGACCTGCCCAGCTCCTGCTTGGTCACAGCCCTGTGGGTCCACAAACATGAGTACTGACCCTCAGGCAGACAGAGCAGTGTTAACCAATTGGGCCTCCCCTTTCTCAGTCCTACCTGTGGTCTCAGCTCCACCCACTAAGATATCCCTTTGGATTTTGCCATCATCTTCATCCAAGGCCAACCAGCGGTTAAGGGGGAAGTCATATTTCCTTTTGTTCCCAATATCTTCAATGATTATCTGGGAAGGAAAAGAGAGGAAGGAATGTGTGTGTCAACTAGTGTGCTCCAACCCCTTCAATCACTGGAATGTCCTCCAAGGCTGCACTCTCAACTCCTCACGTCCCAAGGAGAGCTGATCGGGGACACAGCTGTTGCCAGGAGAGCTTCCCAAAGCCCCCCCAGGGATGACTCAATTACCCCCTGCTCCAATTCCCCAGCCTTGGTCCTCTCCACTACTGCAGGGCATCTCTGAAAACTGAAGCAAGAAACGTGGCCCTGGGAGACTGGGTCACCAGAACTGAAAGCAGAGATTTGTAAACAGACATGAGATGATTGCCTTCCTTGCCTGATGAAGGCTGAGCTTCTGACCTTATTGGTGAGAAGGAGAATCCACACAAGGAGAATTGCAAACCCCAAATTAAGCACAAGGGATTCTAGGATTTGATGGTCAGATCAGGAAAAGTCAGCCACTGACAGTGAGGCAAATGGAAGCAGCCATCTATGAAGCCTCCTGTGGGGACTCCTGTGTGAGCTAGGTTGGTGAAACTGAGCAAGCATGTCATTTAGAACATACCAAGGGGCTGATCCCAAAATGTGCTGGGAAGACAACTGCAATACAAGCTGGAAAGATAGAAGCACCCTTCACAATGAACAATGGAAGACATGTAAGCACATATATCGTATGTGCATGTGTGTGTGTGAGAGAGAGAGAGAGACAGAGAGAGAGAGAGAGAGAGAGATGACCTATGACCTAATAAAAAGCAAGAGCCTTTATCTCTTGAAGAGATATTCTTCACCTGCTGACAAGCCCACAGGCAGGGCTGGCCTTCTAAGAGGTAAGAGAAAAACCAAGACTGATAATCTGAGCCCCTGAAGGTCAGGCATGCTACAGCAAGAGACTTGGCTATGGTGGAGCCAACTTTATTCTATGGTGGTAGGGTCTCACCAGCATCACAAGGCAAGACCTGCCAGGTGCCATTGGATCACGCCTGTAGTCCTAGCTACTTGGGGAGGCTGAGATCAGGAGGACTGGAGTTCAAGTCCAGCCCAGAACAGACCACAATCTCCAAACTAACCAGAGCAAAATGGACTAGAGATGTGGCTCAAGAGGTAGAGCCCTGAGTTCAAATTCCAGTTCCACCAAACCAAACAAACCAAGGCAAGACCTCCCAATACATAGGGCAAATTATTCACAAAGGGCGGGGGGAGTCATTTCTTCTGTGTTCTTTCCAAATGAGTGACAGACATACTCAAATATTTCTGGGCACCAAACCCATCACTTTCTCTGGCACAAGCTCCTAACAACAGAGTGAATATATGGAGTTGGTCTTGGAATCAATACATTTAGGTTGGTATACGTTTGGGTTGGTATGGTGCATTGGCTGTGATTTAGCAACTCTCCCTCTGATACTGGAGTACTGGAGTAACTTCCACCAATGTTGCATAAACTGATTGAGCAAGGGCTGTTCTGTGCAGATAAAGTAAAGACAGACAGACAGACAGATACACACACACACACACACACACACACACACACACACACACGGCAACTGGGGAGCCCAAGGGAGGGAGGGGCTCTGGTGGGCCAAAGTCTGGGAAAGATTCATGGTGGAGCCTTGAATAGTTCGGCCTGGGCTGGGTCAGGTGAAAGAACTGTCTTTCTAGAAAAGTACTAACAAGGGCAAAGACTTAGAGGCCATTAGAAGGGAAATCTGATTGGCCAGTGGGCTTAGGTAGCAGAATGGAAGCAAATAGACCTAGAGAGGGGAGTTGGGCTGAAGAGTCAGAAGCCCCCTCCGCAGGCCCCAGGGACCACAGACAAGCAGCTGAACCCACCTTGGACAGGAACCAACCTGCAGACCCCCCCTTGTTGTTGTGGCCCACATTGATTTTCATCAGCTGTCCCAAATCCGGGGCATCCAGCATGAACTTATCTTCAGCTCCTTTTTCAAAGTTGTCCTTTTCGTTTTCCAGCCTACGCTCCCCTGTATGCACAGATGCAAAAAGTCACAAAAAGACCAGAAGAGAAGAAAGAACCAACTCCAAGCCTTAATGGTCCACCTACTGAAAGAGCTCTTGCAAAGTGAAGGGCAGCTCTCCACTGAGATCTAAGAGCTCCTTACATCTTCCAGCTTCTGACAAGGCCTGCTTTGCCTCGTGGGTGGCTGGTGTCAAGGTCCCATCACTGGGCTTCTGGTTTTTGCCCTAGTCGAGTCCTCATCTCAGTAAACTGATCTGTACTCCCATCCTGAGGCCTGAGACCCTGCCTGCCTTGGCACACTATTTGTCCTGACCTGGAACAATGGTTGTGATAGTTGGTATAGAAGCTGGGGCTGGGGTCCTGAAGTCAGTTATGGACTTCCCTAACAGAGCTGACTTCCTTTCTGGAAAGCAGTGCCAATAACTGTGATCAGACATTGCTGGTTGTTTTAGTATAGGTTTTTTGTTTTCTCACTTATTCCACATCACAATCCAAGAAGGTGATACTATTAACTGTGTCTTGCAAATAAAGAAACTGAGGCTTAAATGACTTTCAAAAAGTCACATGAGTAATAGGCACAAAGAATCCCATTCCAACCTATTCTGTCTGCTTTGCAATTTTCCATTGTTTTGTGATTACACATGTACAAGTCCTTATCACCCCATCTAGGCACCAACTTTTTGCCAAAACCATCCTGCATTCTTTCTTTTCTAAAATTTGGTTCTATACATTTTTTTCTGAAGATTACACTGTGATATTCAAAGATACAGAAAATTACATCAAACACTCACATACCCACCACCACATGCAGAAGATACAACAGATGCTAGCATTTTGTCTAATTTGCATCGGTCATTTCACTTTTTTTTTAAAAGGAAATAAAACACAATAGGTATGTCTGAGGCCTCACTGGTCATCTCTCCCCCTCACTCTTTTCCCAAATTAAACACTTTCCTCAACTTGGTGCCTACCATTCTCATGAATTTTTGTTTGCACATGTGTATATCCACAAGGAAGATAGACTATCCTAGCATAGTTCAGAATTCTACACAAATAATATCACACTGCACAGGTTACAACCTTAAGTCCCTCATCTCACAATCTCACGTAGTGCCTACATCATAGGACAGCTGTAAGACTGATGCACTTGGGACAGCCCTAGAACATGGTGGGCTCCAAGGCAATGTCGTTGCTGTGGAGATTGTTGCTGTTGTTCCTGTCACCATCACCACGTGCCTTTGTGTGAGCTGCTTTTTCTCAGTTAACATCATACTTTTGAAATTACCTGTGGAAGCTAGTAACTTTAGTTCATCCATTTTATTGCCATATCATCGTCACTGAGTGAAGAAAGCACTGTTGAATAAGCATTCTGCCACTGATGTACTTACAGGTTGCATCTAACATTTTGCTGTTGCAAATAGCACAGAAACCAATTGTCCTGTATCTTTCATCTGCTGCACATTTTTAAGAACTACTTTGAGCAGACATCAACAAGCAGAGTAGCCAGGCCCTGGGGTACGTTTACCTTCACTTTGTTAGGTAGGGCAAAATCTCTTTCCAAATGATTATATTACATAAATTCCTACCAGCATTGGATGAGGGTTGCCATTGCCTTCAATCATTATTAAGGATATTTTAAAAAATAAGTTTTATTCAGTGTGGGTAGACTAATGTCTCATGGTGGTTTTAATTTGTATTCCCCTACTTATTTGAAGAGATTGAGCATATGTTTTATATATGCATATGTATACGTGTCATTTAGGCCTTGCTCTTCTGTAAATTGTGTTTGTATCCTTTATTCTGTTTTTCTATTGTCTTTCCTTTGTCTATGCCATTTTAATCTTGCAGACATTTTTCTTCTTTTAATGGACTTTATCAATATTTTCTTTTATTGTTTGTGCTTTTGGTGACTTACTTAAGAGACCCCATCGCTAAACTAAGATGCAAAAGAGACTTTCTTAAAATTTCTTTTAAAATTTTATAGTCTTGCTTTTTCACACTTAAGTCTTTAGCTCATCTAGAGGTTATTTTTGCGTGTAGTAAAAGGTAAGGATCTAATTTTATCTTTTCTCAAATGATTAGACAATTGTTCAAACAGCAGTAATTAAGCAGCTCATCTTTTCCCTCTGATTTAGAATGCCATCTCTGTGTGTTTCTCGACTCTTCTGTCCCATCCGTCCATTCTGTTCATCCTTCTACCGATAACACACTGTTTTAGTTTGTAGAGATCTGCCATGTCTTAATATCTTGCAGGGAAAATGTCCCATGTGATTAATATCGTTCATGTTATTTTCATTATTCAAAATTTTATGGAAAAATTTCGCCCTTTATAGCTCAACATAAATGTTAATAGTAGCTTAAGCTGCAGGGTATTGCCTTTTGGGAGTTTAACTAAAATTGTATTGCATTTATAAAACAACCTGGGAAATGTTTATTTTATTTATTTACTTATTTATTTTTTATTTTTTTGAGTCAGGGTCTCACTATATAGCCTTGAAATTTCAAACATTCTGCCTCAGCCTCCCAAGGGTTGAGAATATAGACCTGAACTGCAGTGCCCAGCTTCAACCTGCGAGAATTTGATATCTTGATAACTTTGAACTTTTTCTGATCCATAATATAATTCTCCATTTGCTTACATATTCTTGAATACCCTTCAGTAAAAAATATGTATTTTTCCAGAAAGCTCTTTTTTAAAGTTATTCTTCGTTGACATATAATTGCTAACGTAAATAGTATATTTTTAGAATTAAATGCTTGAATTGCTTATTGTTTTGTTATTAATTTTTGCATATTAACCTTTAATGTAGGACCTTTGTTAAGCTTTCTCTCACATTGGTCATGATGGTTTATAAATTCTCCTGGAATAATAGATGATCTTCTTTTATGAAAATGAAAGTTTGTTACCTGAGAACAAAGGTGGAACACACCTTTAATCCCAGCATTTGGCAAAATGAGGCAGGAGAATTGTGAGTTTGAGGCCAGTCTGGGATACATGGTGAGACCCTATCTTAAAAAAAGGAGAGAGAGAGAGGAAGGAAGGAAGGAAGGAAGGAAGGAAGGAAGGAGGAAGAAGGAAGGAAGAGGAAGGGGAAGGAAGGAAGGAAGGAAGGAAGGAAGGAAGGAAAGAGGGAAGGAGGGTGGGAGGGGAGAAGGGGGAACAGGAGGAGGGGGAGGGGAGAGGGGAGGAAGAAAGAAAGAAAAAAAGAAACTTCCCTCTTTTTCAAACATGATAGCTTTTATTTCTTTTACATGTTCTTTTTCTAACCTTACAACTTCCCATAATGTGATGAATAGAAATAATTATTAGCTAGAATACTTCTGGGATCATTTTATTCTTTTTAATCTGTTACTGTGATAAATTAAATGGATAGTTGACTAATATTAAATTATCCTTGACTTCTAAGAATAAACCTTGAAGAGTAGAAATTACTTATCATTTATCTACATATTTATTTACAAATTTAGCATGCTAATATTTTATTTAGGATTTTTGGGCATTTATTCATAAATGAGATTAACCTGCACATTTCTTTCTCTTAGTGAGCCTGCCTGATTTTTGGTACCAAAATTCATAAAATGAACTAGTGCACATTACCTTTTTCCCTATTCTTTGAAATCACTCTCACAGACGGAGATACGAACTAACAATTCTGATAAGATAATACTTTTTAACTCTTTGGTAGATTTTGCCTAAGTAATCTTAGAGGTCTGATGCCTTTTAATCACTGCTGTAGTTGCTTTATTGATTACAGATGTCTTTGGCAACTGGCTACTGCAAGTCCTTAAGACAATCAATCCTTGCAGGAGGCTGAGACAAAAGATCAGGCTATCTATCGCATATAGCGACACTCACAAGGCTTAGACACCAGCCTCTTTTTCATGACTCCAGCACAAGGCTCTCCCAAGCATGAATGCTACCATAGTAAAGTGGATTAGAGACCAAGATTCTCCATGTCACATTCTATTGGACCTCCAGCCTCAGGAAAGAGGCTAATGCTTCTCCCATAGTGCAGCTTAAACATCCCACAGCCCCAGGGTCAACGTCCCTCCCAAAGACTGCAAGACCCTTTTGGGATGACCCACAAGGTAACAGGTACCAGAGGCTTTGCACACCTGCTATTACTGTTGTCTCTGTTAATTTTCCCCAATAAATTCTGCTCCAGATGAAGCTGCTGCTACTGCTGCTAACAATGATGACGGGCATTCTGTCACATTCTTGGCATGCTTAGTCCTTCGTTGATTGATTGCTTACAAATGTGCCTTTCAATTTCTAAATGAGTCGAGAGGTTGGAGTTTCTTCTAATTTTACCGCTGTATGATCAAAGAGTGTTGTCTCTATGTTAATTGATTCACTTGACTTTGTTCAGACTTGCTTTGTGGTTTTGTATGTGGCCATTGTGTGCTGGAAAAGAATATGTGTTCTCTACCTGTTAGATGTGGCAGTGTACGTACCTCCATTAGATCAAGCTTATCAAATGTGTAGCTAAAATCTTCTCCATCATACTAAATTTTCATCCATTGGACATTATCAATAATCAAGAGTACTGTATTAAAATCTCCCGCATGGTTATATATTTGTCAAGTTACTCCAACAAATTTTGTTAATTATTGCTTCACACATTTTGGGATTTTGTTCTTGAATTTATGTAAGTTAAAATTATTGCATTATTCTTTTTCATTGTTCCTTTTGTTATTGTCTAACATACCTTTCTTCCTCACAAAGTAGTTTGATATACATGTTATTCTGATAAATATACGTTATTCTGATAAATATACATGTTACGTACATGGTATGAAATAAATATATCTGATATACAATAAACATAATAATATACAATAAATAAGTTTATTGCGATTATCAATACACTTAATTTTGCTCTTAGCCATGCTTTTTCCTGATTCTCTTTCCTTGATTCCTTCTGTTGGATTGATTGAATCTTTAGTCTCTTTTAGTCATTCTATTAGTTTATATGTTATATATTTCTACTTTTTGGTGTTTTCTTTCAGAGTTTTAATACACTTGACTTATTAAAGTCTACAGTTAATCATTTTCTCTTCTGGAGGTGGGGAGATGGGCTACAGCCAAAATCTTTATCATGTTTTAGCTGTCATCATCCACTTTCCTTCTCAAATATTGATTTTTAAATATTTGGAATCCACATTTCCTCTTTCCCTTATATTAGTCATTATGTGTTGTGTAATCAGTGCTTGCTTAGATTTGTTTTAGCTTTCAATGTTTTGCTCACCTTTGCTTTTTTGTACCTCACTCCTTCTATGTACAATCTCTCTTTGTGTCTCTCTCTTTCTCTCTGTCTCTGTCTCCCTCCTCTCTGTCCCTCTCTTCTCACTCTGCCTTTTGAGAGAGCTTCTCACTATGTAGCCCGATTGACCTCACACTCACTGTCCTCCTGCCTCAGCCTCATGAGTTCTGGGATTATATGTATGTCACCAGCTTCCCTTTTCTTAAATTCTTATAGTGGTTATTTAAGCATGGATCTAGGAACTGGCAAGGAATCTGTTCATTGTGTCCTCACTCTGAAAACCTAGCTGGTATAGAATTATAGTTGACATATATTCTTGCTCACAACATTGGAGATACTATTACTTGAGCTTATGACCTGTATAAGTTGATGACAGAAATTTCCTATCAGTCTTATCGTTGTACAGAAGGCAATCTTCCAAACCTGTTTCCTTTAAGACCTTTTCCTTTGCCTTGGGTTTCACCACAAGGTACTCAACTGTAGCTACATCTTGTTCAATGACTCATTTTGTCACTTTAATTTGAAGATTCATGTCTTTGCTCAATTCTGAAGAAGTTTCGGCCATTATTTCTCTGGATATTTTTCTCCCACCTTCGCTCCATATTCTGTTTCTGGAGCTCCTGTTCACTATCTATCAGGCCTTCCCGTTCTCTTCTCCATCCCCATGGCCTTTCATTTCTACTTCCCAACTCTTTGTCTCTGTCTGCTACATTTTGCTCATATTTTATTTCATAATTTGCTAACTCTTCATTCAATTATTTCTAATTGTGTTGTGTTAACTCATCCACTAAATGCTTATCTTTAGTAACCGTATTTTCATTTCTGTTTGGCTCTTTTTCCAAATTTGCTATTCTTTTCATGGTACCTTATTTTTTCCAATTCTTTCAGGTCTTTAATAAGTTTTTAACAATTTAAACTATAGGATCTGTCAGATTTCTCTCTTACCTGAAATCCCTAAGGATTTAATGTTGTCTATTGTATAGACTGAGGCTTCGTCATGATGGATTGTGCCCTTGAGTGTTTTGTTGTTTTAGAAAATAAACTCATCTCCAGTATATCATCTGTGGAAATCCTGTGCAGTCTTACAAAGATTTCTGCCACGTACTAAAGGGTATTTATTATTGCTATGGAACCAAATATTCCATACATGGAGGAAGGGTCTCCCAAATCACACTTGCAGTATAAAATCAGACCTCAAGCCTCTATGTAGTATAGGCCTAAGGTGTCAATTTCTCAGCAATTTTTATTTATTTACTTACTTTTTGGTGGGACTGGGGTTCGAACTCAGGGATTTGAGCTTGCTAGGCAGGCCTTCTACCACTTGAGCCACTTTGCCAGCCTGAAAAACTTAAAGCTCTTGCAGAGATAAATTTTTTCCAAGATTATTTTTTTCTCTGAAGATGTCCCTATGAACCTTCAGGACTCCTGATTTTATGTGCAATTCTAATTTCAAATCTCTTACCTCATGCAGGGCCTGCATCTCACTTTTTGACCCCAAATGGGCATAAAAATTATCCCCTAGATTGTTGAGCATGAAAGGTTCCTTCTTCTAAGAGCCACAGTATCAATTCATACTTAATGCTTTGGTTTTGAGTTCCCTCTTCATTTCTGGAAACTGGAGAGTTCTTTCTTATTGCTTATAAATTCAGTAATACAGTTTGTGTTATTTAATATATACAAAATCCCCATGTCTCAGTAGCTGTAATGACTCCTATATTAGTCTACAAACTTGGCAAAAGCAGGAGAGACCACCTGGTTCTGCTGGCCTGAACTTTCTCCTAGCACTTGCAGCTGTATCCATGATCAGTTCCTGCTTTACCTGTGAGGCCAAGTTGAATTTTATCCCCTGGTCCCATTCTGCTCTGTCCCAATTCACTGCATTGGATTAGATCATACCCTGCTACAACCCAAAATGTAGCTCAGATGGGCATGGAGCTTACGAGATAAAGAGAGTAAGTGAGAATGTGTTCTCTGGAGATGTAGAGTTTGGGTTTGTTCATAGTCTAGGGTGCAGAACAACTTCAATCAACCCCCAAACCCAGGCATACTTTATTCTGAATACCTATCATGCACATAAATTTTATAGCACAAGATAGACAGCTGCTGCACAGGGCAATCTATGACAAGCCACACCACAGAGAGATGCTACACAGAGAAGCCCAAAGGGGGCTCAGACTGTCTTCTTCTGCCAGGATTGTGGGAAACATCCCACCTAAGAAGCAGTACTGGGCATGGCTTATGAAAAAAGGATTCAATCCCATACCTGTGTCTCCATACTCTCCAAAGATATTGATGAAGACATCAGCATCTGTTCCTGCACCAATTACGTCACCAGTGTATACCTTGATTTCATACTTGTTACCTGGGAACAAGGACAGAGAAAACCTTAGCTAATCAGGATCTTGAGGAGAGAGGAACAGAAGTCCCTAAGTAACTACCACCACAGCAATGCATGAACTGTCCACACTACTGTTAATAACAGAGTGAAGAAACAAGTCATTCAACATTGGCTCCAAAAGGTCATTGCCAAATTTTATGTAGGGCATAAATTAGAGATAGTGGGAACCTGCTGTTTTCATGTACTAACATGTTCCTTGGGATAGATGAGTCAGCCCAGACCCTAGGGGCCACTCTGAATTAACCCATCAGCATATCTCCCCTGTACTATGGAAAGGTCCCCAACTGGGCTCCCTCCACTCCTTTGCTTGCCCCAACCCATTTTCCACACTGTATTACAGTGCAGAAATTCACTAGGGAAATTGGATTCTGTAGATGAAAATCAAATTTGTATGTAATTTGTCAACCGTAACTATTGCAAAGACCAGAGGCACCAACAGTGGTCAGAAAATACATGCTTGGGAACTACCTCTTTTAAGTTCTGTATCTGCTTCCTGGGTTTTTCTTCCAGTCATTACACAGAAATTAACTCTCTATAATCTCCCAAACATCTCAGCCTCAGTCATGACCTCAAGGGGAGTGGGACTTGATATAAACTTGAAGACCTGTACAGGTCTCCCCCTCTGGAGTCTGTTGTAGGGTGGGAAGCAAAGGCCAGGGGTTGGTGTGTGTGGCCAGGTAAGGAGACTCTTCCAGATTTTCTTTGGTGCCAACAATTCCAAGGGCTGAGACAACTCTCCCTTCCCGCTTCCCTTCCTACATGGTTTTCTACTTGTTATGCAGCAGAATCCTCCCTATCAGATGTCTTATGTCTAATCTGTGAAGCTGATAAAACCTAGAGCTGTTCTAATTAAGATCCTGAATCCTGACCCCTCTGCCCACCTCCTCCCTGGAACCTTCCCCGACCCTCACCTCCAGCCCCCAGAGGTATTTATCCTCTGTGTCCCCCAGATCTGCTGTCATCTTTGTCAATAGCTTTTAAGTTTGCCATGGACTGCCTTATACTGTTTCCTGCCGGCGAAGGTCTCTGTGTTCCTCTAGAACTTACCAGAGGCTGGGTGCAGAACTTCCTTTTCTTATATAATCCCTCCCACATCCCCTAGCACAGCACTGGGCCCATATACTAGAGTCTCATTAAGTGTGTGGGAACACAAATTGTATAAAATTTCCTAAAACTTGAAGTCCAAGGAAAGTTATTGATGACAAAGGATCAAGGACAGAAACCTAACTTCATCCCCCCTACCCCCTACCCTCCACCTCTAGTACTGCCCACAGTACAGAGCTGGCCATCGAGAAGTGACATGGGATCCTGGAGGGAACCCACAAAGGACACTCCACACATAGCACCTGGAAGTTGATCTTTGACTGATGAGAGCATTGAGCCCAAAGCAATGTCTTCTCTTTCTCATCCTCACTTGGTGGGGGAGACAATTCTTGTCTCTAACTAAATGCCCCAGAAGGAGCAGACACTCTCAGTTTCCACCCTGTCTTACTTACCATGAAGACCCCTTGAGAGAGCAACTAGAACCAAGTTTTCAGAAGAGGCCAGTCCCAAGGAGCCTCCAGGTCTATGGCTTGAAACATGGACCACACTCAGGTTTTCTGGGGTTTAGGTTAAAAAAACTGATTTCACATTTCCCACCAGAGATTCTGAGTTACGTGGTTTGTAAGGGTCAGGAAGGTTATGGTGGTGGCCAGCTGATTCCACTCTCACCACATTCTATTTAAGTCCTCCAAGTTCCAGAGGACCCTGCCAAGGGGTTGGCTCTGCCTGAGCAGGACCTCTAGGAGTATTTGCTTTTGTTCACAGTCTTTCTCAGCTCCAGTCTGGGGGTCTCCCTTCACACAGAGAAAGACCCCTCTTCATGGTGTCAAGTTGCCATTGCCCTGTGACTGGAGGGTCCAGAAGGTGGCTGAGTGGGTGTGGGGAGGACTCTGAAGGGTGTGGCTCAGCACTGGTCAGTCAAAAGGGACAACAGGACTCCAGGGGGAGCTAGGCACAGTGAGACAGAAAGGAGGCTGAGGGACAGGGAAGCATTTATGGAAAGAGTAACAGCATTCTGAATCATTCCAGAAGGCAGAATTGGCATTTAGTGGGTTGAATTATAAGGAGGAAAATTTTAGCTCACCAAAATAAAGATTTTTTAGTAGCTGGAGCTCTCCAGCAAAGCAATGGGATGCCCTTTGGGTGAATTCCCCCATCTCTATGGATACCTAAGCAGTCACTAGATGCCTTCACTTGGGTGGAGAGCCATCTATCAGGAACACTGTAGAGAAAATGCCAGAAGTGAGAGAATGTGGAAACACTAAGCTTCCTTTTAAATCTGAAATTCCATGGCATTTGAGCAGGAAGGGCAGACTCAGGCTGGAGAGGGGAGCCAGGAGGTCTAGGAAGCACCCCAGAAGGTAGAACAAGTACCTGAGTCAGTACAGGAAGGCCTGGAGCCCAAGCTGGGTTTTGGAAACACATAGCATTCATGTCTGGGGGGAAAGTCCAGAGAAGAGCATCATGCCAAAGCAAGTCCATCTGGGAAAGAGGCCAAGGTCAGGGATCAAGAGGACAGAACTGGGAGTGAAAGAACTTCCAGGCCTTTTCAGATGAGGTGGACAAGGGATCTGAGCCTAGAAATCAGAAGTCAGGTGGGCAAAATGTAGGAGGAAAAAGAGCAGACTGTCTTCCAGCCTCTGTGGGACTATCTAAGGCAAGATGGGGCCCTGAGTGCCTGGGTGGCTGACTGGGTTAACAGCAGGATCCCTGTGTGTTAGATGACCACCAACCACACCGAGGAGGGAATGAGAGCTGTGCCAGGGATGCATAGGTGTGCCTCCCAAAACCATACTTTAAAATGCCCCTAGGGCTGGGGGAGTGACTCAAATGCTAGAGCACCTGCCTAGCAAGTGTGAGGCCCTGAGGTCAACATCAATTTTAAAATGCCCCTAAATGGACAATGAGCTCTATTATATTTACTTTTCACATCATCTTTTATCACATTCCCTCTTTTCTAAGCTGCCATTTTCCTAAGCCTACAACCCTAACTGGTGGTTAAGTGCATATATCCATGAAAGAACAAGGATAAATGAAATCAAGGCTTTGCTCCCTTGCCTGTTGGCAAAACCTGGTACAGTGCATGGAGCCTCCCTCCCTCGTGGTCACATAAGATCCCCCCAGTTTCCTATGACTTGAATTTCAGTGAGTGCAGACGTGCAGATCTGGTCACACAAGGGTTTTTGTATGTTGAACTCACTGTCAGATCTTGTGATCAATAAAAGGACAAGATGCCTACCTATGAAATGGGGCTGCTATCCTGGCAACGGGAAGCTGGAAGCAGGCCAGAGGGAAGAGGAAGGAAAGCAATGTGCTGCAAAAACCTGCCCAAAGGTCAAGAGAGAGCAGGGGAGTAGGGAGAAAGGTAAGGGAAGAAAGGTCTGAAAGAGGATTTCCCAGGAAAATGGAAAACGACTAGGGTGAATAATACTAAACATTCATGCAGGCATTTGCAGTTCACAGCCCAGTTGCAGGTCTTTGAACTCACATGATCTATACAATGGCCATATGGAAGAGCAGGTACTGTTGACATTGCCACTTACAGATAAGGAAACCCAATTCAGAGGGTGAGGCGGCATGCTCAGGTCACACTGCTATAAACAACCCAAGAGGGGCTCAAATCCAGATCTCTTATCTTAGAATCCAGGATGCTTCTGGGGGTATCCCCTGGCCTCTAGTGCTCTATGGCAAGGGTTGGCAAGCCTATTCTGTAAAGTGTCAACCGGAGACACTCTAGGCTTCATGGGTCGTTTGGTCTGTGTTACAAAGACTCAACCCGCTATTATAGAATGAAAGCAGCTATTGACAATACTGTGTGAACAAATGGATACACCTGGGTCCCAACAAAACTTTGTGACATTGACTTTAGAATCTCAGAATTTTTATGTCATGAAGTATTATTCTTCTTTTGATTTCAAGTATTTTAAAAATGTAAAACACAAGCCAAGCACGTGCCTATAATCCCAGCACTCAGGAGGCTGAGGCAGGAGGACCTTGAGTTCAAAGCCAGCCTGGGCTACACAGCAAAACCCTGTCTCAAAAAAAAGGTAAAAAACATTCTCACTTCATGTCTCACAGAAAAAAGGTGGCAAGTCAGGTTTGGCCATGAGCCATAGTGTGTCACCCCCCTGCCTTACTCTGTGTGTTCTCAGGCACTGTTCTGTGTGCTTCTAGGCAGAGATCCTAACCGCTGACTAAGCACCCAAGGCACTGAAAAGTGGGGACTAGTCCCTCTCTGTGTTGCACTATAGCAAGTCCTGTGCCACTGTGTATAGGCAGAGCCAGCTTTCCCAGTCTGTCACTGCTATGTGGCTAGGCCAAGCATGGAGGGCCCCTGAGTCTGGTAAATAAAAGGTCCTGGTATACAGCTTTTCAAAGGTAAAGACCGATGACAGCACTGATCCTGTCACCTTAGGCATTGTGCCTTTGCCTGGCTGAGAGCAAGCTAGGAGCAGAGATGGGAACAGAGGTGAAGGCCAAGGTGGAGGGTTAGCAAGTTCATCCCTCTTCCAGGGAAGAGTGAGTAAGCATGGGAGAAGCAGGGCCTAGTGAAAGGTAACGGAATTGTTGCCCAGGCCAGGTCTAGAGTTGGCCTGTGATGTGTCCGTCTGGTGTATTATCTTGCTCTAAAATTCTCCCTGGAGCTGATTTCACACTGCCTTTCAGCAGGACTACCATTGCTGGTATTGGACCTTTGTGCAAATGAGCAAGAAGAATCCTTTCCTCAAGTCACTTTACTGCCATCTGTTGGACAATCGTAATAAACACACACATCTACACCATCTCTGATGTGTCTCCTTACATAGTTACGCTTGTTACAGAGTCCGACCTTTACATCTGAGCCCGGTAACCCTACCTTCCAGGCAGGAGCTGCCTTCTGCTAAAGGTCACTGTGAGATCCAGAGGCCAAGGTAATCTGA